TATCATTGTTTTTCAGACCTTTTCCAGAGATTTACCTTTGCAGAGCAAAACGTATCCAGGCTGTCTTCGTAATCCATCTTATATTTCTGCTGAGATAATAAAGATAGATAACAATTAATGCAAGATTTGAAATGATTGTCAGCCTACATGGGACTTGATGGAGACCTTCACAAAGAGCCCCTTGATTGGTTGTCAGAGATAATTTTCATTTGCTGTCAAATTGACAGCCTGCAATCAAGAGGTGAATGATTTTGTAGTGGCACATGAAAACTATTAAATAATCATGTCTTAACTTGAATAGTCTTTGCTGAACAGAATATAAAAAAAGACAGTTATGAGGAAGCTTGTGGATGATGTTACGTGCAGTGAGTTTCAGACTCTGCAATTTTATACATATTCTATGCCAAATTTATGAATGAATAGTCAGTTTCTTCACAGGGGTGGATGCACACTGACTTGTCTGTTGGAAGGAATGCAACATACTAAAACGAAAATGAGCAACTGTTGGCTCAGAGCAGGTCCTAGAGTTTCATGGAGCTGAAAATATTGTAGTGAAACCTTTTTCATTGACAGCATGTTCCAGCCTCCCCTGGGCATACTGTCCCTGCTGCCTCCAGGCAACCAGGGATGCAATTCCTCACTTGGGTTGGAATGGGTCCCCTTTTCATTGTCAACACGAGTAGTTAACATGTTATAATTCAACTCCCACTCTGGGCAGGCTTCCTTCTGTATTCACCGAGAAAGTATGCTGGCTGCAAAGACAGGATGCTAATTTTCACAGTTCATGTGAACTATAGGACAGGGGACAAGATCAGTATGTTCTCACGATTCTCTCATAATGCCAGTATTTAATGATCTATTGAACTTTTGCCTTTGTGCTAAACATTACCAAAATAACATGTTTATTTTTCTTCCTTCTTATGATGATGATAGTAGACAGAGTGCAACTGTCTCGCCTTCTCCACCTGTTCTTTTGTGTGTGAATGACCAGAACATACTGATAATGTCCCTTTGCACTCGGAGGCTGTGGTTCTGTGCTAACCTCATTGTATCACATCTCTGGAATGGAAAGAGTAAGAAAATGTGTCTGTACATACTTGCAAGTTTCTTTTTTAAACCAGAAGATCTTAAAATACTGCCTACTCTGGAATGAGTAAGATTAGAAAATGAGCATCCAGTTTTTCATGGCTTCTGAAGTTTTGATTTGCTATTGCTCTATTGCTCAGTGACAATCACTTTTTTTTTTTTTTTTCTCAAGCTATAGTTACCAGAATATACCATCTGCAAAGGTAAATTTGAATTTATGTGAGTGTTAAGGGGATGGCCATTTCCTTATTATTCTGTGGCACCAATCTGACTCTGCTCCAACATGCAATCAAACAGATTTTTCAGATTTTTTTCTCTCCCCCCCTGCCTTTCACCCTCAAAAAATTTAAGGTAGGTATGGATAAATTTTCCTAGCAAGGTAATGCCAGAAGTGTTTTCAAGTTTTTTATAAGTTTTATCTTTTTACGTTTTTTATCTACTGGGTGTTCAGCTTTGGTTTTCACAGAGCTCTACAGATCCAGGTTTCTTTATCAGGACTTATATTATTTTTTTTTTAAATTGCATTTTGGTGCAGATCTGTTGTAGATGATCTCTCTGATAACAGTAACTAATGCACATTAATATTATGGCTTATTTTTTATTTATAATTTTTTACTATACATCATTCTCATTTTCTTTTGCTTTTTATCATGGAAGGAAGGGCTGAGGTAATGCTTCAGCCATCCTTTGGTTTTGTAAACTATTTGTTGATTCAAATATTAATTATTCACTCATGATAATGAGTTACCAGTAGATAAATAGGTCACTTACTCTGCTTGCAGTAGGCTAACAGTAAGTGTTGAAAACTTAAAGGCACTGGTTTTTAGCAGTTGCTTATTGTAGTTGTACCTTCGGGGATGGAAGACTGCATTAGAATGGTTATCTACAGGTAGCAGAAGAGAAGAAAGATATACTGTAAACTGGTAGTGATGTGCTACATGGAATTCTTTCTGTGCATGTAACACAGGAAGGGAATCAGATTCAACTGTCTGTTATTCCCATACAATTCCATTCATTTCATTACAGTTGTGGGAATAAGTCCCAAGCTGTTGAAAGAACAGTGTTTGGACTGTATTTATTTACACTATGATGGCTGTGCTTGAGAAACAAACAGGTCAGAGCTGCTGCTATAACGAAAAAGTTCAAAAGGTAAATTTTAGAGGCAAAGGAAAACTTGCAGGTTGGACTGGGCGGCTGTGTTTGCAAGGGCTTAGAGTCCAGCACGAAGGTGGGATGTATCCAAAACAAGTATGAGACCAGTATGTGCTGCTGTGCACAGCTGTGGGATGATGGAAAACTCCCTGTGCTTCCCATGGGCCACCCTCCTCCTCCTTCTCCTCCTCCTCACCTGTGAGCAGGTGGTGGTGATAAAGGAAATGCTGGGTCAGTTCACCTGTGTCTTATTGTGGGCCTGGGTTTTATTCAAAATGCATGTACAAAACTTGAAGCAATTAAACTGAGAAGATTGTTCAGGTGTTAGCAAGTGCACTGAGCAGGCACCCCTGAGCAGACAGCATCTCTGGGTGCTTCCAGATGACCACAAGAATTGTGCGGTCACCCCTACACCAGGTGTGGGAATGGGCTGACTGCACAAATGAGGCTGTGAGAGTGGGAAATCCCATCACTGGGAAAACTCCCTGCTGGATCAGCCTCATTTGATGAGGCATCTCGTTTCGTTCCCCCTTTTTCTGGGTGGGTAGTGCTGCTGAGACAGAGCAAAGGGTGTCCCTTCTCTCCAGTGGGGTGGCCAAGGCCGGGGCTGGGTTACCAGCACTGCCTGCTGGCTGTGAAACAAGCTGTTAGTCTACGGTGGTGAAATGTTTTTTTCCCCATTTTGTACTTATTATACATCTTTAATTGAATATTCTTGTACATAATCATGAGCATGTATCACATTTCTGTTCTTTTTTCCCCCAGCACAGATATTCTACTTCTGCAGGGTCATAATACCATTTAAATAAGCAGAATTGAAGCACAGATGTGGCAAACATTATTTGCATTTTGAATAGGAGGGAGGGAACATAGTGAATTTGTGAGTCCTGATAATAGTAAGCTTTATTTTTTTCCCTTGATCCCAGATTTAGGATCTTTTTTGGTGTCAGATTTGATGTAAAATTTGGAAAGTCTTCACCTGCACTGTAATTGAAATATCCATTACGTGTCGTTGTGATGAAGCACCCTGGAAGACCAAGGAGGAGAAAGCATGAACAAACTTTGCAATCTATTCAAGGCAAATACTGTTGTGACAGCTTCTCCTTCAATCCTCTTCTGTAAGCTGATTGCTTGCAGGGGTCCCAAGGGGTGTTAGGGGAGGGAGAGGAACCCAAAGAGAGTTGAGGCTGACACCCAGCCAGAATTTGTCAGCTAGAGCCACCAAATCATTGCCATCCTACTGTGACTTGTGGTAAAAACAGTGTTCTGAGCCCAAAATCTGTTGGGTGGTTTGTTTTGTGTGTGGTGGTTTTTTTGTTGGTGGGTTTTTTTTTTTTTTTCCTCTGAAAGGAAGGGGGGAAGTAAATGTGTGGGTTTTTTCTGGCATATTGTGGGTCAAGCTGAGAATGTGGAAACCTAGCTCTAGTCCAGAACTTCCTGCTGTATCCTTAAGTCTTCTTTAATAAAGATGTTGGAAAATAAACTGACAGTTAAACACTGGCATCAGCAGCTTGTCCTTCTCAGCCCTTTGCTGAACTGATTTCTACACACCGTACACAAAGAACTCCTGCGCAGCTCGGCCTCTTAACTAACTGCCTTGCTGAATATGTTACAGGTGCCCGCTGCTAAAAAAAAGGAGAGACCATGGGTTTTTTGGTTGTTGTTTGTTGTTTTTTTTTTTTTTTCCTCTGAAAGGAAGGGGGGAAGTAAATGTGTGGGTTTTTTCTGGCATATTGTGGGTCAAGCTGAGAATGTGGAAACCTAGCTCTAGTCCAGAACTTCCTGCTGTATCCTTAAGTCTTCTTTAATAAAGATGTTGGAAAATAATCTTGCTAACTTGGTATTTTTGACCGTTTTGATCTAATTTCATTGCCTGCATACCTAGAAGTAACATCTGGTAGAAGCATTTTTTTGTGATGAGTTTCTCTTTAGCTCTTTAAAATGCTATTGTTGAGCGACAGAAGCCTAAATTCCAGTTGGTGTAAAAATAATGGAAGATATATATTTTAAATGTGTATTGTTTATTATTTGCTAATTAATTCAGCAGTACAAAAGTACAATTCCATGATCGTGAATGCGAAACTCAAGGCAAAGGGAAACAAGAGTGACAAATTGGCATTAATCTTTTGTAAATGTCTGAAATTAAGAAAGAGATAGATCTGAAAGTGAAAAAAAATTACAGTAACAGTAACCAAATATTTAGTATTTGCTGTTGGTTGACTTTAGATAATTTCCCCTTCAGCTTAGATGAGCTCTCCATTACCCTTTCTCACACATCCTTCTAGTTGTGTGTTGAACCTACGCAGCTCTTTGTGGTATCACCCTGCTGGGACAAGGTACCCACTGTTTAGGTATCGCAGCCCCTACACTGGGTACCCAAGTTGAACTTTAAACTGAGATTTTCATAATGGCATATGTGTTTTTGGAGGATGAATGAATTCTGTGTTGCATCTGTGAACGAACACTGGATTCTTAAGATATTTAAATAGTATTGCCTTTGAGCTGATATTGGACATAGACATTTTCACATTATTTTATGAATATAGTATGAGTATTATTTTGAAAGAGTTGCTAAAGGGACTTGTACAGTGGCCAGAAGGTTTGATTCACTCCATTTGAAGATCTGATACTTCAGTCTGAAAAATGTGATTATCATCTTTGAAAAGACTTTCTGCATGTTTGTAATTTAAAGCTGAGACGAAAGTTAGAGGTTGGTTGGTAGCACAAATAATAATTTCTGATTGTTTTATTTACATCTATAGAATAAAAACCCTAACAGTGGAACTTAAAAACAAACAAGATGAATTAAAAAATGTGAAAGAAGATTTGCAGTATTTCCAAGAAGAAAAGGAAACTGCCTATAAGCAATCACAAGTGCTCAGGTGAGAACACAGAAAGAAATGCCGCTGTTGTGCCTCCTGTGGATGTGTATAGTCAGTTGAGAGGATTCAGTGGAGATGCAGGCACAGGCAGGGAGAATACTGTGAGTGAGAAGTGTTTGTGACCAGCCTAGTGTTTCTTGCTTCTGCAGAATATAGCAAGATGCTGTAGTGTTAGCAAATGTAACTGGAAAACATCATTGCTGATTGCTGATGTTATTAGCAACAGGATAAGTTCTTTATTAATGCTTGAAAGTAAGCTTGGACTTAGTCATTGAAACGTTATTGCTTTGATTTCTCAGTAAAAAGAGATTGTAGAGTTTTCTTAGTTTGTACATATACTTTCTAAATCAACATTTAGAAGGGAGAAATTTCTTATAAATATATTCAATGTACAACATTTCATATACTGAATTATTGTAACCCAATATGCTATGAATTATTATATAAGAGAAGAGTAGATGTCAAGTTTACTTTAGTTACCAAGTTTACAAATAGTATTTTGTCATATATCTGGTATTATTTTTGTCTTGCAGAAATACACTGGAACACCATTGCTCAACTCTGAACAAGGCTGTCTCACTGTTTCCTTTTATTAGAAGTGAACTAGACAGTATTAAAGAAGCAATCTCCAGTAATCTAGAGAACTGGGCTGCCCTGAAAGAAGAAATTTTTCTACAAATAAAAACTGTTAGCAAAGAAGCTTTGACAGGTAAATCGTCATCTTGCAGTAATTTTGGGCAAGATAAAATATTTTTTTGGTAGTTGAGTGTAACACAGTAAATTAGAAGGTAAAGTTAATTAGATTAATTTTTAATTCTGACATTAGTTTATCCATGTCCAAAGTAGTAGAAGACGCTATCTGCTGCTGTGGCACCATGTGACCGGGGTTGATCTCAGTCCAGTCCCTGTTGGATTAGTGTGCTGGACTAGCTGTTCTGTCAGCCAAGTCAGACTGAAATGGAAGTAATAGAAATGCTTACCAGGATTTGAAACATTTGAAATAATATACTTACTTAGGAACATACGATATGACTGCTACATAAAGGCCTGGAGATATTCTCACCTACCTTGTGTGTCCTATTGCCAGTTTTTCCCACATACTTATGTACACACAGGATACTATACAGCAATGGTATAATGTCCTTTTGTGGAGCTGCTTGAGGGTCCTCTAGTGCCACCCCCTCGTTGCGTGGGCAGAATCTACCTCATCCCTTGGGCGACCCACTGAGTACACGTCAAGTTGCCTTGAATGCACGAGGCACTGCCTAGGAACAGACCTGCACCCAGCATGTAGCAACTGCTCCCTCCTTCTGTTCCTTAGTAAGAACAAGTCATACCCAAATACAGCTGTCTTTATCTGAGGGGTCTTTGGGATTGAAAGGGGCACGGAGCAGTGGAGCAGCCCATGGGCTGAGAATAATTCACTTGGCCCACAGCCTGCTTCCTGCTCAAACAAGGGCAGCCTTCAGGAAAAGGGAGCAAGTCACAACTGATGGCTTGTTCGTGAAGGTCGTGCCCAGCCCTCAGGCTGGCGGTCAGACTTGAAAACTCAGATTTATCCTTGAATACCACTTTTGCTCTGCCTCAGTTAAGAGATTAGTTTTGCTGAAAAAAGTGCGCAGTGGTGTAATTACGGACTGTACCATCCAGAGTATCAAAGTTCACTTTTGCAACTTTAATGGTCTTTAGACATAATTTTCATAGGTGTATTCCTTTACTTATAGTTTTTCAGTGTGCTCTGTGTGTATGAGTTGAAGAGCTGCTGTTTGCTCTGGAGGTTAGTTTTAACAGGGTTATAAGGTAGCAATGAAGTCCGTGGGCTGATGTCATGCTTTCTGTCCTTGTGAGAAGGAACATAAGGGCATGGTGGGCGACGTGCATCTCCTGAATCACTCCTCTAGTGAAACTGTGTGAACTGCAGTGCAAATTCACAGCTTAAGTGAAACCTGCATGCCCAGAGCTTCATTTTAAATAGTAGCTCCCCAGTAGCCTATGCTTCCTGTGGAATTAGAAGTAATTTTTAATGTTTTCAATGATTGCTTTGTTCAGACTGGAAAGAAATAAGTGGGGCAGCTGTGCTGCAGGAAGGAGTAAGCACGCATCCCACTGAGAGCGCCTGGGTCCCAGCAGAGAGTTTGGGGCATCCTGAGCCCGGGCAGGAGGGTTTGTGCCTGCTGAAGATGAGCGTGACTGGAAAGTCACTCTTTAGTATTCCGTTTTTGTAAGAACAGTTAATTTAAATGTCAGTGTCAATATCACGTGTTTTGATTCATGACTTCATCTCCTAATTAGACTGAGCACAGAAAGTATTGTGTGCCCCTGAGGATTCCTCTCTTCCTGTGCTCATTCTTGCCTACTTCTAGCTAATAAAGGGAGTATGAACATGCGTTTCTGCAGACATCTTCAGGTTTAAAGAGATTCATAATGCTTCAAGGCTTCTTTTCTGGAGTATTCCTTGTTTTATGTGTTGTAATACTGCAAATATATAGAATATCTGTATGGAAGCAGAAGTGCAGCCTTTCAGGTTCTTATAATAATTAATTATATATGCCATGCCAAGGATACATGCCATGTATCCCTGACTGCATTCAGCATATCCCACTGAGAAGAGTGCCACACGGTGAATATTACATACATCCTTAAGTTTAGCTTTCTCAATCAGAGCAATTTAGCCCCACCTTTTTTCCTTTTTTCTTTTTTCTTTTTTTTTTTTTTTTTGGCTTGAGAGTGCCATTCAAAAGCTTTTATGTTCTGTTTTATGAGTTGTTCATTATTAACATATGGTAACATATTAACATCTGGTGGGGTGGGGTTTTTTTTGTTTATTTTACCTTCCTGTTTTTGCAGCAAGCTTTTCAGAACTTGTTTTTTTTTTTTTTTTTTTTTTTTTTTTTTTTTGGCTTGAGAGTGCCATTCAAAAGCTTTTATGTTCTGTTTTATGAGTTGTTCATTATTAACATATGGTAACATATTAACATCTGGTGGGGTGGGGTTTTTTTTGTTTATTTTACCTTCCTGTTTTTGCAGCAAGCTTTTCAGAACTTGTTTTTCATTCAGATTTTGAGAAGAAAACTGTTACATGAGATGCAACTCTATGCCTAGACCAGTTTGCTCAGTTAGTTTGAAAATAGCTTAAAAAAGCCCTCGTATATGTACATTATTTAGCCTTGGTTAATTAAGAGCAAGTAAAAGGAAATATAAGAACTTAAAATATTTTGGTATTTACGTTATTTAGTTTAACAGTAAATGGATTTAAGTGTGGACTAGTTAGGAAAGATTTTAGTAATGGAAATATTTGCACCACAGAAAGAACTTAAAATTTGCACGAGTGCAGCATGTGAAACACATGTGATAGGTGACTTGACAATAGAATTAGACTTCATCTAACTTGAACATTGTGATTATTAATGTAGATAGAAGTGATACAAGTTCTTTGGACAACTGAACATTTAGGGCTGTAGTTGGAGAAGGCACAGAAAAGAATTGCAACTACTTTTGGAAATATTCAAATGTACTCATTAAGGATAACTGAACTCAGGAAAAAATAGGAAAACAGAGGAGACACTCTGTACCCCACCGATGATTTATTTATTTACCTTGCAGTAAAAGCTACCTGGGAAACTTCCTGGGCTCAGCTGCTCATCCATGTTGAAGAGCTGATGAGAGATAAGAGTGACAAAGCCTGTCTTTAATGTAATGAAGATGCACTTTGTGATTAGTTTAACAGCAGTAGTCATCTAAGGAGAGAGAAAATAAAATGTAATACACATGCCCAAACATCTTCTGAATGAAAAGTTTCAAATTGAGCTTTAGCAGAGGCTAATCTTCTTGATATCTTCTCAAATTAGTTTTAAAATGAGTCTGCAGTTGTTTTTATATGTCAGCAATGGTTTGTGTGTCTTCTTAAGAGGAAAAAAGCTTGGATCCAAATATCTCAGTCACCTGTTGTTATTTCATGTGGAATATATATGTATTTTAATTTGATTTGAGATCTTAGGGGAGATCCATATTATTGCTTAGAATAAAATTTATCTTATTTGTCAATAATATGTGTTTGGCTAAGTACAGGTTATCTGTGTAGAGAGATATTGCACAAAGGATTTCTTTTGGCCACCTACATTCAGAAGTACATGGTTTACACTGATCCATAACCAAACTAGGGTTACAGAACACTGAAGTCCTGAGACCGTAAATCAGTTGTAATACTCTTTAGCAAAGAAAGTAAATTTCACAATAGTTGATTTTTTTTCTTTCTTTTTCCTCCTCAGAAATACCCAAATTGAATCAAAAACTAGCAAAATCCCAGAGAGAGAATGAATGCCTCCAAGAAAAGGTAAAACATCTGACATTGGTGGCTGACACAGTTGAGCTGAAAACTCAACAGCTTCAAACTTCACTTCAGCAAGGGAATGAGCTACAAAGTAGGTGCCGAGAGCTACAAAAGGAAACATTAGGTAAGATAATTTTGACATTTTGAGCAAACTTCCAAGTGAAATGAAACATAATTTTTATTTTTTTTTTAAAAGCACCTAAGTTGTGGCTGTTACTGTGAAAGCACTCAACAGCTCAACTCAGACCCAAATAAAATGTAGATCTTGTGCAGTCAGAAAGACCGTATGTCATTCTGCGGAGTCTATAACCCTGCTGGGAACATGAGTCAGCTGCGTGGGGGAAAAAAATGAAGGAAGGGAGGAAAACAATGAAGATGGTGGTAATACAATTATGCTGTTACTTGTCAATCTTATGTAAAACACATGTTCTCATTTTGAGTGGAAGGCCAGGCAGGATTTTTGGCTATCAGCAACAGAACTGAAAAATAGGTCAGGCTAAGCTGGTCTCTTTTCTCCTAGGTTCATTAAACTTGATGATTTGCCCTTGATAGTTTGTCTCAAGACTCTGGAGAGTCCTTTTGAAACTGTAAGAGTAGTGACAGCACTTGAAATTATAATAGCTCATGAACTTTTTTGAGACAATGATGCATTGCAGAAAGATTATTTATATTAGCATCTCCTGAATCTCTTTTCTTTTTAAAGCGATATTGCATTCATAGTGCTGGCTCAGAGGCATTTTAAGACCTTCAGAAAGTATAGAGGTGGTGCTGTTCCGGGCACAGTTTTGAGTCATCAAATTGGCATAGTAATTACCATGCTGCCTTATGCACAGTATGTGATGTCAAATTTAAAGCAGTAGCACTCGATGTTAGTCATGATGAAGGAATTTCACTGATCCTTCGATACCAGTGATAATATCAAATGTGAGACTGCAAAGTAGAAGGCTGCTGATACCATCCAATGAGTTATTAACCCGTGTTGCTGAGGGCAGCCTTTATTTTTGTCACTGTATAACAATACTGTTAGGAAAGCTCCAGCAGTGATGTGTTTGAATGGTAGAAATGAGCAGATAACTCTATGGCATTTTACAGACGGTGTTTGTCTAAGAAATAGATTTAATACATCTTCTTTTTTGGGGTATTTTTTCAAAAAACTAACTTTGAATGAATGCAAAATCAGTTAGAATCTTGTCAGAACAAAATCTTCTGTGGATTATTCACAGCATTCACTTTTGTCTGTCTTTATTCTTGAAGATTTGCTAAGTATTGTAGTATCTTAAAATCTTGCCCATGATATTTTTTGGTAGGCTCGTTGTCTGACTGTAGCTCCCTCTTGTTACTTAGTCCTCTGTTCAGAGTAAACTGTGGCAGGTGGGAATTGGGAAGAGGGTCACCTTAAAAGTGTTTAGCTGTCAGTCATTAGCCACAGTATCTCATTCTGAAGACCTGAGTAAATATAAAGAAATGCTTCAATTCTATTTAAATTTCCTTTTTCAAGAAAATCTTGAACAGTCTGTTGGACAGTGTGGAAAAACTGTATGTTTTTCTTTAGTTTGTATGTAAAAATCACTAGGACAGTTTTTGGTTTTTTTTTTAGAAATCAGGAAATAAAATTCTGGTAGTACAGAATTAATATCTGCTGTGTTGTTATTTTTTTTTTTTTGCAAAAAAGTAAACAAGCTCAATATTATATGCACACTTTATATATATTAAAAATATCTATTATGTATTTCAGAAAAGAGCCTGGGTACAAAAATAATAATTAAAAAGGCAAAATTCCAAATAAGCCCAAGATAACATCACTAGAAAAGATAAAATTGAAGAAACTAACTAGTTGCACTGTTTGACTAAATCATGTTGCTTCTCCTAAGAGCAGGAGGTCAGCTGTGACTCCTAATGTTTTACTTGAAGCTTGTTTGGAAAAGATGCTAAAATTGCATTCATTTTTGTTGAAAAGACAAGTGTGTTTCTGCTCCATTAAGAGATACATATCATATCAAAATGATATGTGTATATGTCTAACTGCCAAGTTTGACTATTATAATGCCACAGTCTGAAATTTGGAAATTACATACTTATTCTATGTGTTTTGTTTCTTAATGTTCACTTTCTGTCTTTGCTTACGCTGAAGTAGTCCTAGAGATGGAGCTGAGAGGCTCTTACCGTGCTAGAAATCGCTCAAGCAGGTAGTATCTCTCAAAAGACGATGGCCAAGGTGACTGGCTCAAAACCGGCATAAGTGTCGCAGGTTCCATGGTAAAACTCACAGCAGTGATTTATCGCTGTTGATGAAGCTTTGTTTTCTCTGTTATGGGGTAGCACTTACTGAAAGAAAGTTTGTTTGGTCTTTATTCTGGTCTTGTGCCATGTGAAGAAACTGTCCAGAAGTTCAGTCCTACAACGGCCTGGATATCCTACTAGAAATGCCGATAATCACAACGATTTGTATGTCACTTTGAGGACGACTGTCACAGAAACTCTGTTCACCAATGTTTTGGTACACACTTCTTATGTGCTTCTGTCGTGTCCTGTTTTGGTCACACTGCATTTTTCAAGAAGCAGTGAATGTGAAATGGTCAAATGCTCGCTGTGCCCTACTACTTGGCTTTCTTTTGTGTTCAGTATAACTGGAAAACTTGTTTCCACTTTCTTGTAGGAATATATTATTCTCTGTATAAATAGACACAAGTACTGATAAGTTTTAAGCAGTTAGATCATTTCTTATTTACCTTTCTCTAGAAATCTGAGTTTCTGCAATATTCAAAATAGGTCTACCACTTGCCTGTCTTGAGAAAAATTTAATTATATTTGACATGCCTTTTTTAGGTGGAAGAATTAGTCAAAATAAAATAATCTCAGTAAAAAATAGCTCCTTCTCAAGTATGCTTTGACATTTTATTTGTGTTGAAAAATGTTTTAATTTTTTTTAATACAAAATAAAAAACTCACCAATGACACAACTTAAATTGTCGGTACTAGTACGCGGACTGTTGTAGTTCCTCAGGAACAGTCCTTTGTGCGATTTCCACAGTCGTAGATTTTACTTTTTATAAGGTGCCACGTTCAAGATAACTCAGATAATTTTGCACATTACTGAGTTAAACTTTTCTGGTGGAGTGGCTGTATGTGGGCATGTGAAACTGTCTGTGAATTCAGCAGTAGTTCACATGCATTCTTGGGAGCTGGAATGTTGGCACTCGCTGCTGCTGTAGAAAGGCTAAAGTCCATTTAATTCAGCATCCTGTCCTCACCCCTGAAAAACACGCCATGGTTCAAAGGAGGGAGCAGGAACTCTAGAACAGCAATTAGAGGATAATCTGTCTTCCTTACGTGTCTCATCTTGATCTAAGAGGTCCTTGAGCCTAATCAGACAATCTGTTAAGCTTTGAAATATGTGGTTTATTATCGTTACATAAAGTATTTGTATCGTTACATTTATGCTAATATGAAATTTACCCTTAGTTAGAATTCCCTTTTCGATTTTGTAAAGCTGTTTAACTTCAGAAGTTTCTATAAGCAATGAGTTCATAGTTTGTTCGTGTGCACTGTAAAATCATGCTTTCTTCCTGGGTTTTCCCAACATTTAACTCCATGGAAAATTGTCTTTTTCGTATGCTAGAAGACCAGAGAAAGGTACTCCCAGTGTGTAACTGTTTATTTTTTTAAAAAAAAAAGATTATTTGGTGTGTTATACGTATATTTTGAGATACTTGCATAGCTTTCTGGCTCATCTTCTCAAAATTCGAATTTACTTCCCAAAGTTGTTGTGTTGCATCAGACCATCTAATCAAGCAGTTGGTTATATTTAGGCTTTAATTTCTTGCCTTTAATTGATTATGATATTAACTTAGGGCACTAACTGTAGTACCTACGAGTGCCACATTGTGAGCAGGTTCAGGCTAGCTCACTTTCTGGGCTGAAAAAATCTGAGCTTACAAAGGAGTGCCTGTTCCAGAGGCCCTATTCCAGTTTGTGGATCATCTTGCCCTTTTCTTCTTTTTTTTAATTTTTTTTTTTTTTTTAAGTATTGCTGTATAAGAAATCTAAGATTGCTCAACATTTCCTATAAGATGATTGCTGTTTTCAGTGGCTCAAAATATTACCAAACTTAACTAATCAATTGTTTTTTCATATTAATTCCAGTAAAAATGGTCATAGCTTTCACAGGGATGGGATAGCTGGAAAAGTCACTGGATTTTATGATGTCTTACTCTGCAAAAAGTTTCTTGAAAACCCCATGAACCTTCAGTGCTCTGAAAATGAACTTCGAGACGGGAGGTTTGATGGTGTTCTTGACACAGAGAACCAAGTTAGCCTGACTTCTGAGCCTTTGAAAACCGAACAGGTATTTGTTGGTGTGGTGGCCAAACTCTCTGTGGTTTTGGATTTGTGAGTCTCCAGAACACAAGGGCTGGGCAACGCGTTCCCAGGCCTTGCTGCTTGTGTGCCCCTGGGCAACAGGAGAGCAAACAAGGAGGTTGTCTCCGCTGTGTGCCCCGTGCTGAGCCTGGGGAAGGGAGCAGCCTGGAGCGATGGGGCAGAGACCAGCCTGGGAGGGCAGAGGTTGGAACGTTGTGACAGGGACATTGAGGAACTTGGCTGCCCCGGCTGCTCTGTAAAAGAGCTGGGGAGCACACGCTGAGCAGGGAGATGCCAGTCCTGAATAGCTGGAGTTCTTTTGTCCTGTGTGGTGACAGACACAGTAATCCTGTGGAAAAAAAATAGTACGTGTTTATAACTTGAATGAATATTTTGTAATGCGTAGTTAATAAAGCATGAAAAAACAGCTGATATTTTTATATGTTTAACTGCAGCACTTGCCACAATCACTAGTGCAGTTTTTGAGTGTTGCACTGTTTGTATCTTCTCCTGCACCCTAACCTGCAGACCATCGTTCTTCAGTGAGAAGCATGATTAGGGCCATTTCCTTTTTGGTTCAAGACCTGAAGTTTACTCTCCCGTTCTTGTTTTGAATCATTCCCAGAATCCGTGATCATTGCAAGGTATTATGGAATAGTGTTCACAGAAGGAAACCAGGGAGATCTGCTAAAAGAAATAACGTGGTTTGGATAAGGTAGCTGTGCTGTGTGGTGGCTGTGAAGAAGGTGCTTTCAGCAGCTCGTG